GTGAGAGGAGGAAGAAGGAGATGAAGAAGAAAAAGAGGGAAAAAGCGGAGAAAGGGAGAAATGAAAATTAAGAAAAAGAAAATGGAATAAAAAAAAGAAGGGGAAGAAGAGGCAAAGAAGGAGAAGAGAAGGGAGGGAAGAAGGGGAGGGGAGGGAAAAGGGAAAAGTTTTACTCACAAACTTTATAGGATTTAGACACACTATTTTCCGGTTCCTAACTTTTATCAATAAGTTTATTGTCCAACAAGGGGAACTCAAGATTCAAAATTCAAGAATCAACAAAGAACTTAAAAGAAAAAAAAAAAGACTTGTGGGAGAAAAAGAATGAAAATCAAAACATGTTCTCAACACGTTTTCTGAATCGTCGGAACAGCTGTAAAATCATGCGATCATACGTGCATGAAGATCATCATCAGAGCAAGCAAAAATGAGCCATCCGTCATGAAGTGTCATGCAAAGACATTATGTTCAGTGCCACTTGCCGGAAGCCTTGGTGTCATGCGCGTTACTTGTCACATGACAGACCTGTTCTCATGACGAAGTGAGTCGTAGTATTTGTCATGCAGTGTCATGTGATTTTTTCTGGATTCTGTGTTGGTTAAGATGTTGTGGGATGCTTTGTTTTCGTCTCTTTCTCCTTTTCTCCTTCTTCTGTGTCTGTCTCTCGACGTCTCTCTCTTTTTTAGATCTCATTGTCTCTCTGCATCTCTCTCGCTCTATATTTTCTTATTTTTCCCTGTCTCTCTTTTTTTTTCTCTCTCACTCTTTCTCTGTCTTTCTGTCTTTCTGCATCTCTTTTTCTGTCTCTCACTGTCTCTCAGCATTTCTCTCAATATCTTTTCATTTGTCTTTATGTCTCTTTGCATCTTGCACTCTGCCTCTTTGCATTATCATTACTATTATCATTATTACTGTTATCATTATCACTATTATTATTATCATCATTATCAAAATTGTTGTTATCATTATTATTATCATTATTTATTATCATTATTAATATCATCATTATATTATTATTATTATTATTAATTATTATGATTATTATTATTATCATTACTATTATTGATATATCATTATTACCATTATTTTATTGTCATTATCATTATTATCTTTATATTTTCATTGTTGTCATCATTATTATTAACATAAATATCATAATTATCACTATCATCATTATTATCATTATCATAATTATCAGTATCAGTATCATTATTATGACTGTAATTAATATCATCATAATTATCATTATTCTTATTATAATTATCATTATACATTATTTCTTTCTCCTCCTCTCCACTATCTTTTAACTCACACTTTCTCTTAGCCCCATTTACGTAAAGTTTCTCTTTTCTCTCTCCCTTCATGTCCTCCATTTACTTATCACATGTAGGTAATTAGCAGTAAACTATCGTGTAAATTCAATGATTATGGAGCTGATTCATTCATAAAATTTGATAGCGTAAAAGCGAGTACGCTGTCACATGTTTTTATACATACATACACACACACACACACACACACACACACACACACACACACACACACACACACACACACACACACACACACACACACACACACACACACTATATATATATATATATATATATATATATATATATATATATATATATATATATATATATATATATATACATATATACATATATACATTTTTAACCCTACCGCACTAAATCTCTGGAGTTAATTCCCGTTATTTGTCCCACTCCCTCAGGGCGAGCCAAGCGGTGCTCCTGCTGGCGATGCTGGTGGTCCCAGGCCTTCCTCAGGGGCCGCTTCCTCGTGACGGGGGAGGACACGGAGGCGGAGGTCATGGAGGAGGAGGTCACGGTGGAGGAGGAGGTCAGGTGGAGGAGGAGGTCATGGTGGAGGAGGTCATGGTGGAGGAGGAGGTTATGGTGGGGAGGAGGATGGTGGGGAGGACATGGTGGAGGAGGAGGAGGACATGGGGTGGAGGTTATGGCGGGGGAGGGGGAGGGTACCATGTCCCAGCCCCCACCTGTCATCCCCAGACCATCACTAAATACAGGACTGTTTATAAAGACCGCAAGGCACAAGTGGTCAATAATGTAAGTTTCTCTCTCTCTCTCTCTCTCTTCTTCTTTCTCTTCTCTCTTCTCTTCTCTTCTCTCTCTCTCTCCTTCTCTCTCTCTCTCTCTCTCTCTCTCTCTCTCTCTCTCTCTCTCTCTCTCTCTCTCTCTCTCTCTCTCTCTCTCTCTCTCTCTCTCTCTCTCTCTCTCTCTCTCTCTCTCTCTCTCTCTCTCTCTCTCTCTCTCTCTCCTCTCTCTCTCTCTCTCTCTCTCTATCCATCTATCTCTATCTATCTATCTCTTTCTCTCTTCTCTCTCTCTCTCTCCTTTCTCGCTCTCTTTTCATCGTTTTTTCTCTCATTTCTTTTATTTTTCGTCCCGAACCTGTATCTGTACCTTTCAAAAGTACCTTTCTCAAATGGCATTTAATTCCTTATGGCATTTAAACATAATAAACCACTTTAAAACACATCGCTGACAATGCCTCAGACAACCAGGCTCATGTATGTGTACGAGTATGTGTTCTTCACTAAGTGTCTAAACCACACATTAGCAATCGTTTTATTTTCTGTTTACAGAGCTCTTTCAACTCTTCCTCTTTATTTGTTCGGCCTAAACCACGCTTTCCAATCGTATCAGTCTAACTAATCTCTATTCGCAGTGTGTTCTTTCCTTTCTACTCATTTATCAGATTCGCCTTCGGTTTCCTCCTCTTCGTGAAATCGGCCAGGTATACCTTATGCTATGACGCGTTTGTATATACGTCCTATATATATATATATATATATACGTCATATATTTATATATATACGTCATAGGCAAGATATACTATAAGTGTTAAAGTGGTCTTCCTTTCCGCTGGTGTTCTATAACTCCCCATAACTCTCGGATGTTCTTCTGTTCAATAGCACTGCCGTTTATATCTGGGTTTCAGCGCCCACACGAATAACTCTCTAGGCTTTTCCTGCATGAGAAATCGCCGGCCTTCTTCTGCCTCGATTGACACTGCGCTTCCATATTCACACCTTGGTTCCTGGTTCTCGCACTTCCGCTGCAGGGAGGTCTTCTTTCCTTTCTCTAACGCATTTTGTTTGTACGGTTTTCTTATGGGATTTTTGTTATATCACACACACACACACGGACACACTCACAGAAACGCACACACACACACGTGCATATATATATATATATATATATATATATATATATATATATATATATATATATATATATATATGTGTGTGTGTGTGTGGTGTGTGTGTGTGTGTGTGTGTGTGTGTGTGTGTGTGTGTGTGTGTGTGTGTGTGTGTGTGTGTGTGCGTGTGTGTGTGTGTGTGTGTATGTATGTGTGTGTGTGTGTGTGTGTGTGTGTGTGTGTGTATGTGTGTGTGTGTGTGTGTGTGTGTGTGTGTGTGGTGTGTGCACATATATGAATGTATGTATATGTAATATATATATATATATATATATATATATATATATATATATATATATATATATATATATATATATATACATATATATATGTATGTATCATGTATGCGTGTATATACTCATCACCTCCTCCGGCCGCAGGTGGAGGTGCGGAACCCGAAGCCGGACGTGAAGAAGGTGGTGGAGACGCGCTACACGACCATCCGGTACCCGGTGTTCATCACGCAGGTGATCAAGCCGCTCCTGACGCAGGTGGAGACGAAGGTGCGCCCCATGTTCTTCACCAAGACCATCGACCGCTACACGACCGTCAAGTTCACCGTGACGGGCATCGGCCAGGTCACCGTCACGACCGTCAAGTACGAGAAGGAGTACGTGACGCGGTGCATGAAGGGCTACGGCCACCGGCGGGAGGCGTCGGACGGGGCCGAGGTGGGCGTGGGCGACGTCGCGCTCGAGGCCGACGCGCCCCTCGCGCCCGCCTACCGCACGCGCGCGCCCGAGCCGCCGCCGGGCCTCCCCTACGACTACGAGGACGACGACGAGGAGATCGAGCCGTCGCCGCCCACGCCCGAGCGGGACGCGTCGCCCCCCGAGCGCCCCTTCCTGCGGCCCATCACCCACGGGGGCTTCAGGGGTCCCCGCCCCCGCTCCCGCCGCCCTCCCCCCGTCGGACCCCGCCCGGGCCCAGGGGGATCCTGGGCGCCCTCTCGCAGCTGGGGGGCGTGCTGACCGGGTCCTACCGCGACGCCGGCGAGGACCCCTACCAGCCGCACCCGCCCCTGCCCCCCGTGGCCTTCCGGGGCTGAGGGCGAGGCGCGAGAGGCGAGGCGAGGCGGGCGTGCGAGGCAGGCGAGGCGAGGCGAGCTGGCGAGCTGGCGTGCGAGGCAGACGGAAGCCAGAGGAGCCATCAATCGCCCGCACGCCCTCACGCCCGACGTCCGATGGGCTTCCGACTGCCCGCCGCCCATTCGCGGAGTGACGTCAGAGCGTGATGCATCGGCTAATTTTCCCGCCCACGCCCACGCAGGATGAGCCTCCGGATATCTATTCGCGGAATCGTCCCAGAAGTAAGAGTAAATAAGTAAATGATAAAGGGAAGAGATCAGTGAAAAAGCGAGAAGAGAATTTGATCAGTAAATGGACAAATAAATAGATTAATCAATGAACAGATAGGTGAAGAAGTTAATGAAAATATCAACAGATATCTAATAAGATAAACAAATAAACAAAGATATATAGTTAAAAGAGATACAAATACTGATATTTAAATAGACAGATTGATAATAAAGAAAATACATTAATAGATAATCAGAACCTGGGTATAACGACCTGTTAACCTAAAAGTCGCACCTTTTCACCTTTTCCCCAAAATGTGAATAAATTAAGTGTGATAAAGAGATATAAAATAGTCAAGAGAGATACAGAAATAAAGAAAAAAAGTGATAACAAGTACTTTAAGTGCTTTAGTTCTTAGTTAACCCGGAGGCTGGTTCCTTCTCTCGATCGTAAAGTAGATATTTTGTTGTTGTTTTGCAGATGTAAATGTAGTGAAAGTGGCATCTGTTTTTTTTTTCTCTTTTTCTTTTTCTTTCTTTTCTTCCGGTTGTATAAAAGCTGTTACTCGGATCGTAGCGTCTACACTGCTGGTTACAGTGTCGCTTTCAGGTTATTGTGTCTTTACACGTACACACATACACACACGCACATAACACACACACACACACACACACACACACACACACACACACACACACACACACACACACACAACACACACACACACACACACACACACACACACACACATACACACACACATATACACACACACACATACACACACACATACACATACATATAGTCCATATATATTATTATATATATATAATATATATATATATATAATATATACATATATATATAATACATATATATACACATGTGTGTGTGTGTGTGTTTGTGTATGATTGTATATTGTATACTATTTTGTGATATATGTTCATCTTTGTTATGTATATTTTGAATATATTTGTTGGCTACCCTGCGTCTTATTTCTTCCTATTTTCCCCAAAAAAGTATTGATATCACTATATGTATTTGTAAATAAAATACTCTGCCATCCCTCTGCACCACCATACGTCACCATATAACCCTTTGCATACATTCGCAGAGAACTTGCACACACCACACTCCTACCCCCCCCCCCCATCCCACCTTTTCTTCCAAGATGCCACCAGACCCTCAAGCCCCTAAGGAGAGTGAGTGTGTGTGTACTGTTGATATATATATATCAATATATCAATAATCTTTTTCACTTTCATAATGGAAAGTAGACCATCATATGTATATAAATATAGTCAAAGAATGGAGACAGAGATAGAGAGCGTAAGTAAGAGAGTAAAAAAATCTATCGAAAGTCTACAACACATGACGTAATGACCCAAGAATCCCCTCCCCCCCCCCTCCCCCCTCCGACGACGCAGCCCAAACACAGCCGCTGAATCACGCACGAAAGCCATTGTCTTCCCCCCCCCCCCCCCACCACCACCACCACCACCACCTGGCTCCGGCTCG